CTCCAGCAGCGTGGGGCCCCTTGGTGGGGATCCCCTGCTGCTTCCCGAGGTCCCCAGGGTGTCGGGCAGGCCTGGTGGAGCGGAAGTTGAAGGTGCTGGTTTGGGGAACCCCCTTACGGGTGGGCCCCACGTCCTTGGGCTTCATGAAGAGGTCCTTGGCGTTGCTGGGGCCTGGGGTTGCCGTGGTGACCCGGCCGGGGTTCCCTTTCCTGTCTCCTTCTCGGGGGACTGGGGTTGCCATGGTGACCCAGCCCGTGGTCCTGTTCCCCCCTTTGGGGGCTAGGCTGGCGCTGACTGAGGCGGGGGTGCCCTCAGAGCCCATGGCTTCCTTGGTGACGTGGCTCTGCTGGGCCGCCGCGGTCCCCGTGCAGAAGCTGCCGCTGCAGCAGGCGCCCTCCTGGGTAAAGAGCAGGGGGCCGACGCGGCGGCGGATGGGGGCCGTGGCGCAGGGCTGGGGCTGGCAGCTCCACACGAACAGGGGCACCGACAACTCTCCTGGGGGGGCATGAGATGGGGGACATCAGGGGTGCGGGGAGACGCCAAGTATCCCACAGTGCCCTGGGGTGGGCCTCCGGGAGGGGGAGACACCCAGCATCCCACAATGCTCTGTGTGTGTGTGTCCAATGCCTGGGTCCCCTGCGTGTGTGTCCTGGACACCTGATTTCCATTCATGTGTGCGTGACTGTGTGTGGGGTGTGTCTAGGATGCCTGGGTTGTGTGTTGCGTGTGTGCATGTCTGTGCATGTGTGTCCTTCCCCAAATGCCTGGACTGTTTGTGTGTGTGTGTGTGTGTGTGTGTGTGTGTGTGTACACACGTTCCCAGTGCCCGGGTTCTCTGCTGCGTGTCCTGGGCGCCTGGCTCCATTCGTGTGCATGTCCGTGTGTGCATTGTGTGTCCTGGACACCTGGGTTCTGTGTGTGCGCGAGATACCTGCTTCTGTGTGCATGTGGGTCCCAGACACCTGGGTCTCCCCCCACCCACCCAAGGCCTGAGGACCCCACTCACCTGCCACGATGGTGCCATTGCCATGGTAACACTGGGCCTCCCCGGGGCAGGTCACCCGCTCCAGGACCCCCGGCTCTGGCTTGGGGCTCAGGCCCGACAGGCACTGGGTGGCATCATGGGGAGCTGGGCCTGAAAGGGGTTGTGGGGGGCTCTGGTCAGACCTCGGCCCCCCCAAGCTGGAGGACACCCCCCCCCCAAATCCGACCCCGCGTTTTACCTTCATTGGGCCCAAGAAAAATGGGGTCATCGAGAGGCACGGGTTCCTTGTAAAGGTCATCGTTGCAGAGATCAGAGGAGCACAGTCGGACATAGCGCTGGAGGGGGGTGGCCCCAGGGGGCAGCGTGGCCCCGGGGGGCGGTGTGGTCCCGGGGACCCCCTCGCTGCACCCCCAGAAGGTCGCCATCACCCACATGGCCCCTGGAGGTGGGGAAAGGGGAGGCATGGTGGAGTTGGGGTCAGGGGGCACAGCCCCACCCTATGGGGCTGGCGACCATGGGTGGGGGAGAGAAGCTAGGGGGCCAGGGCACATGTGTGTGCGCACACATACAGGTTGAAGGCATGGGGGACAGGTACAGAGTCCAGGCATTTGGGATGGATACACACACATGAACCCATGTATCCAGGTCTCTCTCTTTCACTCACACACACAAACACCCACGTGTCTGGGGTGCCCACACACTCACACCCTGTGCCCCCCACTTACCCATCTACCCACACCCATGCCCCAGCCCCACAGCCCCGCCCTGCCCTTCTCCTTGTGCCCCACTCTCAGCCCTGCCCCCTGCCCAGGGCAGTGGGGTGGGCCAAACTGACCTGTGCGTAGCGTGGCACTGGCGGCAAGGCAGGCAGGGGTGTGTGGGGGGCAGCTCTGGTTGGTCTTGGGGGTCACAGTGGCATCTAACACATGGCCTCTGGGGCCGTAGAACAGCACCGAGCTGGCCTGGTGGCACGTCAGTGCCTGGGAACCTGCGGACACGGAGTACGATAAGAATATGTGTGTGTGTATGTGCGCGCGCGCGTGCATTCGTTTGTGTATGTGCATGTGGCCTGGACACCTGGGTTGTATGTGTGCGCGCGCGCGCACACATGTGCACACATGCATGTGTGTGTGTGTTCTGGCCTGGATGCCTGGGTTCTGTGTGTGCGCACGTGCATTTGTGTATCTTTGTGTGTATGTGTCTCATCAGGACACCTGGGTTCTGTGTGTATGCCTGGCTCAGATGCCTAGCGCGCGCGCGCGCGTTTGTGTGTGTGTGTGTGTGTGTGTGTGTGTGTCCTGGATGTGTGGGTCCTGCATGAGTGCATGTGTTTTGGGTGCAGACACTTGGGGGGGGGGGGGCGGTGTCCGTCCAACGCCTGTATTCTGGGTGCCTTGAGTGAGCGACCCCAAAACCTTCGGCAGTCCTTGTGCATCCCTCCTGAGACACACAACCCAGGTGTCTGGGCTCCCAGTCACCCCACACAAACCCCCTTCCCACCCCATCCCAACCAGGACCTCACCCAACCTTCCCATGGCCCCCCCCCCACCTGCTGCCC